GCAATCCACTCACCTCAGCCTCCCAAAGGCGCGGGATTACAGGCTGAGCCACCGAGGCCAACCATATTTTCATAAAAGTAAAAATATATACACAGTACGATCACTGAGTAGAAGTGGGCATTTTGCTGCTGTGGTCGCAGTCATGGCAGACAGTCAATAGAGGGCAGAGATGTGGACCCTCGAACCACAGTGAAGTAGAGTTTTTTGGTGACTAGGAAGGAAATGTCCCCAAAGAAGCATAAGGGCATGATCACGAGCAGGAAGTGAAAGAAAAAAGAAGACTTACTCAGGGCACTTGGAGTAGCACCTGCCTTCATGCAGGAAGAGAGGGCGGCCCAGCTGCGTGTGGCACTTTTGGCAAAGATTAGCTCCAGAGCAAGTCGCACAGTCCTCCGTGCAGTTCTCACAGTTCCCGCTCCTTACGGAGGGCCACGTGCCTTCGGGACAAGAAGGAACACAGGCCTGGGCCAACAGATACGCACCTAGAGAACCAGGGAAGAAACCAGATGGGGATAGTCATCGCACATTTGTCCATGCAGAGACATGGTTTTTTCAAGCTTTCCAGAGACCAAGGTGTCCTGGACGCTTATTTCAGGCTTACCAGAACATGTGTTAGTCAGCTAAGTCCTCCAAGATGAATTAAATCTCTAGAAACAAAATTGACAATAGGAGCTTTGGGTCCTGGTTTCCTTACTTTCCTACGGATATTAGGTAGGGTTCATTTTGGGGCGGCCCTTTGACCAGCTGATCACCCTCATCTGTGTCTTCCCAGTGCACAGCTTGGTGGCGTTTATTCTTCTGTGTGCTCAAAGCCCATCTTGCTAGGACACTAACAGAATTGTAACACTTTCACTCAACTCCCTTTTTAACAGACGAGGCATCTATTTTTGTTGAATTGAAAAAAAAAAGAAAAGAAAAATATTTATTTAAAAAACAGAAATAAAACCGGGCGCGGTGGCTCATGCCTAGAATCTCAGCACTTTGGGAGGTGGAGACGAGAGGTTTGCCTGAACTCAGGGGTTCAAGACCAGCCTGGGCAATTTGGCGAGACCTCGTCTCTACAATACATTAAAAAAAAAAATTAGTCGGGTACAAACTTGCACGTGTAGTTCTAGCTACTTGGAAGGCTGAGGCAGAAGGATTGCCTGAGCCCAACAGGTCAAGGCTGTGGTGGCCGAGGGTGTGCCACTGCACTCCAACCTGGGCAACAGTGAGACTCTGATTCAAAAATAAATAAGTAAAAATAAAAAACAGAAATAAAAAAGCAAATGGCCGAGCATTATGGCTCACACCTGTAATCCCAGCACTTTGGGAGGCAGAGATGGGAGGATCTCTTGAACTCAGGAGCTCAAGACCAGCCTAGGCAACACAGCAAGATCCCATCTCATTTTTTTTTTTTTTTTTTTCGCGTTGGAGTCTCACTCTGTCGCCCAGACTAGAGTGCAGTGGCCACTCCTGGCCACCGCAGCCTTGACCTGCTGGGCTCCGGCGATCCTTC